TCAGGATAATTAATCTCACCACCTACAACAACAACACAAGCAGAGCACAGGTTTTAAGCCGGCGGGATTGTAGATGTCGTGCAGGTGAGTCCATCTCACCTGCACGACATCGCAGGCCATGCCCCGCCACAATAAAGCATTTTCTAATTAGAAACTTTGTCCTAATTATTTCCTGGGTTTTAACTATTTAATAATAAAAAAAGGAAACATCACAAAAAACACTCAAGGTCATGAAAATTAATTCACATTTAGCAATTCAATGACGCATCCACCTTATCAATTGAAAAGTATCATATCGGCGATACTGGCCAGTATTTACTTCCTATCACATTGATACCAAAACCACTACAGATGAACTTGTGGCAGTTATAGAAATCACCACTCCTGTTGCTCATGATGATTTCAAAATGTTTCCCATAACAAAGAAATGTCTTGAACAAATATATTACACATAAACATTTCACCAGTGTTGTAACATGTAAGCAGAGTCTGCCTGTGTCTGTTCTCTGGAAATGAACATTTCCAGCCAGGTAACACATCAACATGGCTGAAGAGAGTTTGTAGTTATGTACAGTGTGTATAAGTGTGGCTAATACAACAAACAGCCACTGATTGAGTCGAGCTTGTGAGAGCGAGTGGATTTAAGAAAGTGAGTGACTCAGGTGTGTCCATTAGTTTGTCATGTGTTTGAATGAATGTTGAGATGAGGTAAAATGTTTGTGTTTTAAAGCAAAGTTAATATTCATAATTTAATTTCCAAAACTTGCATATGATCTGCTGACTATCACACAGCTGCTGGAGCAGTCTCAGATAGAGGTCCGTCCGCTTCTGCCACCTGTGCTAACGTCTTCGAGGATGGGCAGAGTGAATGAACTACCTGCTCAGCTCCAGAACAGTTTCACGTTTGTCTGGATGTCTGGTTGGTTTCATCTCTTGCATTGTTGGAGAGGCCGTGGGATTGGAGGTGCAGCGAATTTGGGCCAAATAAATGGGAATGTGTCGCAGTAATTTTGGAGACTATTTTGAAAGAGGAAGGGGTTAGTATTTATAGTATTTATAGGGTGACATATGTAGTGTTTCCAAACTGTTGAAATGTGTATTGTTTGCTGATGACACCACTCTGTGTTGCTCAGGTAAAAACCCAGAACAGCTTCTGACTGCAGCAGAAAAGGAGTTAAATATATTAAAAAACTGGTTTGATGTAAATAAGTTATCATTAAATATAAAGAAAACAAAATTGATTATTTTTGGCACTAGACAAATGAAAAATGTATCTAAAATCAGGGTGAATGGAATTGAAATTGAAAGAGTGTATGGAAATAAATTTCTTGGAGTGATGATTGATGATCAGCTGAGCTGGAAGTCTCATATAAACCATGTGAAAACAAAAATGTCAAAAACCATCGATATTGTCTATAAAACAAAGCATGTCCTGAATAAAAAATCATTACACACTTTATTGTGTTGCTTCCATGTATGACTTACTGACTGGAGATGTGGGCTCATGCATATAAAACGAACACTCTTCCTATTTTCAAGTTACAAAAAAGAGCTGTAAGAATGATAAACCAATAAAACTATATAGAACCAACTAACATTTTGTTTATTAATCTGAATACCCTGAAATTTTATGATTTAGTTGAATATAAAATGGCACAGATAATGTATAACGCACAAAATAACTTGCTTTGCTGCAGGACTCAGAAGCTGTTCAAAGTCAGAGAGTCAATGTGACTTAAGGGGAACAGATTTCTTAAAAAAAAAACAAGATAAGGACAAACATAAAGATGTGTTTCTGTTAGAGGAGGTAACCTGTGGAATTGTTCTGACAGGGATTTAAAAAGGTGGAGTTCATTTTCCTTGTTTAAAAACATGTTTAAAAGTATTAGAAAAATATATATATCAAGAATGAAAAGAGAAAAAATAATAATACTGAAACTCTTGCAAATGCTTCAGCCAGTACCTTCTGATTAGTCTCGTGCTTTCTTGCTTTGTGGTAGATCTTTGTTCTGTATTCATTGAGATAATTGAATGCTAATCAATAAAATAAAATCAA